GACCGTTCTAGCAGATTAAATCCAATTTATTATTGATACAGGTCTCACTTAAGACATGGTTTCAAATACCAGTGGTTTTGTCTACTAGATAATCGAATGTATATTTGTATCATATGAACATTATCTCGCTAAATTTCATTACAGGCAAGTCAGAGGACAGGCGCTGAATCGTCTTCCTCTCTTTTGTTGTTGTTGGATTTCCTCTCGCTTCTGCAGGACATATGTAATGTTCTGTCAATAAACCGTTAATCAGTATCACTACCACCAAGTCACTCGTATGTTTATTCAACCGACAAGCACTCGGTGTATCCAGTCTGGCTGTCCGCAAGGATCACTGTTTCTGTCGCGCGCTCATACGAATGATCCTGACACAGATCCAAGCGGCAGACAGCGCGCCTGATTCATAACGAACACTAACACTGCCGCGCGCCCGACCAAAGAGATTTGGCACCGGATGACTCTATTTCGACACAGGTCCGCGGGGCGGACATCGCACCTAATTCACAACGAACACTAACACTCCTGCGCGCCCAACTGAATAGATTTGGCACTGGATCACTCTATTTTGACACAGGTCCACGGGGTGGACAGCACACCTGAACGCAATGAACACTAACACTCGCGCACTAGTCCGAATTATTTTGCCATTGGTCGTAATTGGGATATCACAGATGTTGAGAAGTTTGTGAGACATTTGTATGGCACCCCGAACAACACACAGCTGATGACGCCAGAGTTCACGTTTTTAGGAAGGCCAAGAAGACTCTGGAAATGTTGTCACCGACAAAGGATGCCCTTGAGCTCCACGCCAAGCGGGCAAACTATCAGACCAAAATATGGCTCCAAGCTGACAAAGACAACGAAGATGTTGAAGATCCGGTGGACACTTCAGCCTGGAAGTTGGAAGATGAGAGCCTCCTACTAGAGTGGACAAGACTTTCTACAATCCCTGAAGCCTGCCTGAAGTTTATTGCTTGTCGTTGCAAGAAAAAGTGCAAGACAGATTGGTGCTACTGCTTCAGAAAAAGGATGAAATGTACCCAACAGACAGTAGATCTGTCTCTCTTCGGGCTAAAATCGAGAGAAGCTGGAATGTGCTGTAAGGAAATAATAATTCTGTTCTTAAGTGATTACAATCCACACAATTGTGACTCAGTGAAGCTTTAGGTGCTGTCCATCAATCTTATTATGCACTAACGATGTTAAAATAAATTGTTTTTACAAGCAGACTTGCTCAGTGTTTTCTTATTCGCCAATTAAAATAAAATATCTATATTTTTTTTACCTTGAATTTGACCTTGAGTTGGTAATTCGGATGGAATAAGCGTGTCACCATACGTGTTTATCACTAATTGTGGCAAAATTAAACATTTTGTCAAACCAATTGGCTCAGAATATTAAAAAAAAAAATATATATATATATAACACTGGTCTGCATTTTAAGAAAAATTGAATGATGTTTTAAAACTGAGACATAAATCTGATTCGTTTTGTATCAAGGATTTCAAAATAAACTTTGTTTTGCTCTATCACGTCACACTTTATTACAAATAAGACAAGATAATAGTACTTATACAAATACAACATACAAATATGACAAGATAATAAAAATACGACAATTCAGTAGGCTTCAAAGTTAACTAAACCTAAAGATTATTGTGATTAAGGCTATTTGCCTGTAAATACAGAAATGAATGATATAAATGAATATGTATGAACATAAAATTAGGCTTCTAGGATGGGTGAAACGTTCTCTTTTTTTTTCGATTTCGAGGCCAATCTTTTCACTGACACAATCTCTCTTCAGCACCCAGCAGTAGTCTGCCATCAAATTCATATTCCACCTTCCTTGATACCTCTTTTCCATTTCCTTAATGCCCTGGTGATATCTTTCACCTTGCTCTACACTTAAACTACTTAAATTTTTAGGAAAATACTCAAGATGGGAATGTAAGAAATGCACTTTTACATTCATATTGCAACCCATGATTTTTAAGTTATTCAACATACCTTCAACAATGTTTTGATAGTTTAAATCTTTTCTGTTGCCTAAAAAACTGTACACAATATTCTTGAAACTATTTCATGCTTCTTTCTCATCGATTCTTCATATTGGTGGTCCAACATTAACTTTCGGATTTGAGGACCCACGAAAATGCCAACTTTGATTTTATTCATATGTTACTGGTGGAAATAACCTGCATATGTACCGGAAACAATCACTTTCCTTATCTAGGGCCTTTACAAATTGTTTCATGAACCCTAATTTCATATGCAGAGGAGGCAACAACACTTTCTTAGAGTCAATCAATGGTTCATGAAGAATATTTTTTTAATCTGGCACAAGAGCCTGTCTAGGTGGCCAGTGTTTTTGTCCCAATGTTCACGTCTTGCTCTGCTGTCCCACTCACACAAAAAGCATGGCATTTTCGTGTATCCACTCTGTTGACCAAGCAACAAAGCAATGACTTTGAAATCTCCACACACCAACCAACCATGATCTTTAAAATGAACTTTCTCTAGAAGTATCTACAAATGTTCATAAGTTTCCTCAAGATGAACAGAATGAGCCACAGGAATTGATAAAAATTCATTTCCATTATGAAGTAAAATTCCTTTGAGACTTGTTTTTGAAGAATCAATGAACAACCTCCATTCAGTAGCTGTATAGGTAATGCCAAAATGGTTAATTAAAGCAGACACATTACTACAATAAACCAAGGAGCCTTCCTCTGAAAAATATTAACTAGTTCTTGTTCACATTGCCTATACCATGAAAAATATGTCCCCTTGCTTAATACATTCTTTAATTTCATCCTAGATCTAAAAGTTCAGCAGACTCCTTTGGTAAATTCAAATCCCTAACCAGATCGTTAAGTTCACTCTGGGTAAACACCTCCGGTACATCACTAATATCTTCAGGTTGATAAACATCTCTTCGTTATCTGACGATGAATTACGGTCAGATTCTGATGACACGGACTGCAACACATCTGGCGGAATGGGGACTGGAACCTCAGGACCGTGTGGCACTGGTCTCATGTCAGATGGAATCTTGGGATAAATGATTCCTTGTTTATTTTTTGCATTATATCCCTCTATCTTCACAAAGCAAAAATAACAGTCATCAGCATAATTTTTAGGCTCCCGCCATACCATAGGGACTCCAAATGGCATAACTTTTTTCTTACCTTATTTCCACAGTCTTTAAACCTTCAACACAAGTGCGACATACTTTATATGGCGCCCATGGTTTATGTAAATCACCTATTTTCCCTCCAAAGTACTGTACAGTAGGCAAAATATGCATTTTCACGAATGCAGTTATATCTTGTCGTTGCTTATGCACAACAAAGCACCTACATATGTAGCAGAATACATTTGGATTGTTCAAACATCCACAAGAAGACATATTTACAACAGGAATAATATCTTAGTAGAGCAAAACAAGGAGATTTAACAGTACAGCTGCTGATGCGACACTGAACAATGGCCTTTGCCTCAAGAATTCCATTTGTCAATAAACTTTGCATGATAGACGAAAACTGAAGTCATATCTGAAAGCAACATTAAAAATAGGTTAAGGAACACATATTAGTTTGAAAGCATCAAAATTCATGCAGACCGATGTAATTTTTTGCACAATTTGACCTCGTAAATGACCTTCAACGCCAAAAGCAAGAGTGGCATCCACCTGCACTTTATTCCTCACCCACAGATATAGTAATTTAGCATGAGTGCCAGCTATTAAAAAAAAATGCCGTTCAAAGTAAATTATGTTCTCACTTGATTGTCGAGTGTGTGTTCACTGTTGTATATGCAAAATTTCAGTCTCTTCACATGCCTTTTTTCCACAAGAAAAAAAATAAATGCACACACCTCCACCCATTGTTTATTATTGTTATATATCTTGATATCAGATCACCTGGTATACTGTAGTTACCCACTCAACTGTGGCCAGGTCTTCCTCGAAGTCCCTAATCCCCTGTACAGTCAGAATTTCTGGTGAAGTCAGGTCATTTTTTCATCCATTATAATCCATTTCATTAAAATCTGGAATCCCGAATGAAATATTCTCTCAATTTTTCGTGCTACAGTATTTCATATCTGAATTCTGTATTTTCAAAACGTGCGCTCTACTTTAACGTTACACATAAGATTTTCTCTATTTGACAGGCTAGTTAGAGTAAATTTTCCTGAGTGGCTTCATCTATAAATTGTCAAACGTCACGTAACAGTAACTAAGATTAACAACAACTGGCATTGACATCACATGACAGTAATTATCTCATTATATACATGTGACAATAACTATCACATAACTACACGTGACAATAACTATCACATAGCTACACGTGACAGTAACTATCACATAGCTACACGTGACAGTAACTATCACATAGCTACACGTGACAGTAACTATCACATAGCTACACGTGACAGTAACTATCACATAAATACACGTGACAGTAACTATCACATAACTGCCCATGACAGTAACTATCACTGAACTACACGTGACAGTAACTATCACATAACTAAACATGACAGTAACTATCACTGAACTACACGTGACAGTAACTATCACATAACTAAACATGACAATAACTATCACTGAACTACACGTGACAGTAACTATCACATAAATACACGTGACAGTAACTATCACATAACTACAAATGACAGTAACTATCACTGAACTACACGTGACAGTAACTATCACATAAATAAACGTGACAGTAACTGTCACATAACTACAATGGCAGTAACTATCACATAACTACAGATGACAGTATCTATCACTGAACTACACGTGACAGTAACTATCACATAAATACACGTGGCAGTAACACATTGCAGTAAATAACATTAGCAACACGTGGCATTAACTTTTGTCATTGTTTTATAACTCTTGGTAAAATCTTCCTAACCCTTGTAGATGAGAGCAGTATCAGTACTACCCACCTCACAGAACAGTCAGTATCAATTTTTCCATGAAGGTCTGTGGACGGAGCTGGGAAGGACAGTCACGTCCCCCTGTGGAACTACGCCCACTCAGGACCCAAATCTTCCTGCTGTACTTTCTGGCGGGCGTGAAGATGGACTCAGACTGGCTGAGTGGTTACTCCATGAAGCACCTCGCCCAACATTAGTGTTCGCGCCCTTCAGGTACTGCCCTATATAACCTTGGTACTACCTCTGTATCTGTGTATGTCTTCCTCTGTACCTAAATACCACCATCACCTCTTCTGCCTCATCACATCACCACCTCTACCTCACCATACTCACCTACTCTACCTCACCACCATCACCTACTTTACCTTACCACCATCACCTAATCTACCTCACCACCATCACCTCTTCTACCTCACCGCCATCACCTACTTTACCTAACCACCACCACCTCCTCCAGTTCAACACCATTACCTACTCTACCTCACCACCATTACCTACTCTACCTGAGTACCATCACCTCCTCTATATTGCCACCATCACCAACTCTACCTCGCCATCATCACCTACTCTACCTCACCACCATCATCTACTCCTCCTGACTAACATCTCCTACTCTACCTCACTGCCATTACCTACTCTATCTGACTACCATCTCCTACTCTACCTCACCACCATCATTTACTCTACCTGACTACCATCTCCTACTCTACCTCACCACCATGACCTACAGGCGAACTCGTAACAATGGTTTTAAATTAGACAAATTTACATTTAGGCGCGAAATAGGTAAACATTGGTTTGGAAATAAAGTAGTGGACGACCGGAACAAGTTACCAAATATCATCATTAACTCGAATACGCTGGATAGCTTCAAACATAGGTGAGATGGATATATGAGCGATAGGGTTGGTGTAAATGGGACTGCCCATGTTGGGCCAACAGGCCCGCTGCAGTTTCCTCCATTCTTATGTTCTACCTGACTACCATCACCTACAGTACTCTACCTCACCACCATCACCTACTCTACATGACTACCATCACCTCCTCTGCCTCACCATCATCACCTACTTTACCTCACCACCATCACCTCCTCTACCTCTCCACCATCATTTACTTTACCTGACTACCATCACCTCCTCTACCTCTCCACCATCATTTACTCCTCTTGACTACCATCACCTACTCTACCTCTCCACCATCATTTACTTTTACTGACTACCATCACCTCCTCTACCTGACTACCATCACCTCTTCTTTCTCACTACCAACATCTCCTCAACCTCACCACTATCACCTTCTCTACCTCAGCACCATCACCTCCACTACCTCACCACCATCACGTCCTTTACCTCACCACCAGCACCTCCTCTACCTCACCACAATCACCTCTTCTACCTCACCACCATCACCTCCTCTACCTCACCAACTTCACCTCTTCTACGTCACCATCAGCACCTACTCTATCTCACCATTACTTCTCCTACGTCAATATGATCAACTTCTCGACATCACCACCATTAACCTCATCTACTTCACTATCAGTACCTCCTCTGTCTCACCACCTACCTCCTTTACCTCACCTCCATCACCTCCTTTACCTCACCACCATAACCCATCTGAAAGATATGAAAGGTCTCGTAGCGTCTCAATAAAATACAGAGACTACTGCGCCGACAACATGCTCATGTTTTAAAACGACTTACTAAAAGCTAAGTGGGATTTTGTCTATGCCTCCGACAACTCTTATGTGAGCTGCTGCAACTTCTCTTGCATTTCCAATGCTTGCTTTGATAAATGCTTTCCCCTCAAGACTAAGTCAGTGAAAACTGTATCTATCTCCAAACCCTATATTACAAGTGAAATCAAGGCAATGATAAAAGAGAAGCACAAACTCCAAAGGAAATTTGCAAAAAGACCCATAACTTTCGGTGATGCTTACTGAAGCATCAGAAATAGTGTAACCCAAGTAGTTACAGTAGAAATGCCAGACATAGATATTATACAAAAAACCTCCATTCAGCATCATACAACAGTAACAAACCTGTAATATCATAAATTTTATTCAGAACAGGAACACCCAACCTTGGGCGCCCCACTCAGCTTTTATGATAAATGATTCAGTTACCTTGAACCTTCCCTTATTACCAACCACTTCTACTGACATATAAATTTTGCAAAAAAATCTTTGCAGGAGCATCCCCAATCACAATGGGGAATTTAGAATACCTGCAAAATGAGCTGTTCCTACTCTCTGTCACAGCAGATGAATTACTGACCATCATAGAAATGTAAAAAATGCAGCAGCAGACGACGACAATATACCAATGAACACAATTAAGAAAGTAACCAACCTATTACTACCTGTTCTCCCTACATTTGTAACTCCACCTTCACTAGTGGTGTCTTCCGGATAAACTGAAAATTGCTAAAGTTCACCCAGCATATAAAACATCTGGTGACAAAAGTCTTTTCAAGAATTACTGCCCCATATCAGTCCAACCAGCCTTGAGTAAAATACTTGAAAAGCTAGCATGTAGTAAGCTAAATTTCTTCTGCAGTCTCAATAACACCCTCACAGACTCTCAGTTTTTATTTGGAGCTGGAAGGTCAACTGAGAGTGCTCTTCACATCATACACTAACGACATCTTAAGCACCTTTGATGACAGTCACTTCACAGTCTGTATATTCCTGGACCTCTCTAAAGCCTTTGATACTGTCAACCATATCATCCTTCTTTCAAAGCTTGAACATCACGGCTTTAAGGGCTCATCCCACAATTGGTTTACCTCATATCTGTCTAATAGGAAACAGTATGCCTACTATAATAATCATCAATCTGACTCCTCACCAATTTTGTATGAAATCCCCAGGCTCATTCTCGGTCATGTACTCTTTTTGTTGTACATAAACATTATAGTCCATTCAGCGCACTCATAAAATACAACTTATTTGCAGCTGATAGTAATCTCAATGCCAGCAACTCAGACCTTCATTCCATTAGAGAACTATGAACATTGAATTAACAAGTCCAAGATCTGGGTAATATTAGATAAACTGACCTTAAACCTTCAAAAAGACCCAACACCTTACAAGGAAAAACGTCACAGATTTGAACCCCATGTGTGGTAATACAGTCCTCAAACGCGAACAAAATACTAAATTTCTCAGAGTTATTGTTGATGAGAAATTTAGCTGGAGAAACAACATGCAAGCCATTCAAAGTAAAGTCAATAAACACTCTACAATCACTCACTCTTACAGCAATGAAAGAAATCTATTATGAACTTGTTTACCAACACCTGATACACTGCCACACAATATGGGACCTCATTCTTCACACACGACTCTGAATTGTTGCACACAATAAATTGTGCGGACAATGACCTACTTGAAAAACTGATCACACTAACGAACAATTTAAAATTAGATGATATATCACCTGCTGCATGCCCTGTTGTTTACAAATCTGTCAATCACTTGTGACAATATTATTTCCACTTCGGAAAAAATCAAAGGTACAACCAAGACACAGAAACTAGGATACCTTCCCCATGCACTGCTCTCAGTCCCAGACCTCCATAAAATATTATGGTGTGAAGGTGTGGAACATCATACCCACACCCATCCGAGCAAAGTCTGCAGGCTCCCTTCCTTTAAATCATCTTAAAAATATCTATTGAGTAAGTACTAATATTTTCTGTAATACCTACTTTATATTCCTACTTTTATTGAACCACCAAAACCATTTTATCAGAAATTATCATGTAGATAGGTAGAAATTACCATTGCAATTAATAAATTTGTCAAATAGACATGATAATGACAGCTCTGTCCTCTTGTTACCTTAATAAACCCATGTTGGCTGCTTCCCTCATATCATATTTAAGTATATCAATTCCACTGTAAAGTATATATATACTTAAAATATACTGTAAAAATCAAAATAAATAAATATCGAAATGATAACCGTGGTAACATTCTGATATGTTCCTACTACCACCATGCTATGTACAGTATACGATTCCTGATGATACTGACGCCCGTGTTATTAAACAACATCTTCCCTTGAAGAGGGTCGCCGTGTTTCGACTCAAGTTTAAACTAAATGAGACCTGCCAGGACACTGTAGTACTGTACTTAACGAGTGTGTGATAAATTAACTAATTTCAATATTATAAAGTATATTTATTAGGTTAGTTAATTTTACCGCCACCACCACCAAACTGATACCAATCGTATTATTTAATGACAGTCCGGAAAGCTAACGTTAGCTATTCCCTGTATCTAATAAGGGCCTTACAAAAACTTTCCTTGAATGTTACATAATACTTCCTTGAGATAATGTACAAATATATATAAGGTTGCCATCAAAGCTCAGGCTCTCAACTGACTCAGCCCTGTTAATAGCCCTGTATTGTAGTTTTTATCAAATTTGCATCTGTATTACTTCTGTTCAAATAAACTGTTTCAATATCAATGTCAGCCATCAATCTATTTCACTCCATCACCTCCTCTACCTCACTGCCATCACTCCTCTCCTCACTGCATCACCTCCTCTACCTCTCACCATCACCTCCTCTATCTCACCACCATCACACTCCTCTCCTGCTCACCACTATCACCTCCTCTACCTCACAATCATCACCTCCTCTATCTCACCACCATCACCTCCTCCTGCCTCACTATCATCACCTCCTCTATCTCACTATCATCACCTCCTCTATCTCTGCCATCACTTCTCACCTCACCACCATCACCTCCTCATCTCCTATCATCACCTCCTCTGCCTCCATCATCACCTCCTCATCTCACCACCATCCTCCACTGCCTCACCATCACATCACTCTGTCTCACTATCATCCATCCTCTGTCTCACTATCATACCTCCTCTATCTCACCACCATCACCTCCTCTACCTCACCACCATCACCTCCTCTATCTCACTATCATCACCTCCTCTACCTCACAATCATCACCTCCTCCTATCTCACTATCATCACCTCCTCTATCTCACCACCATCACCTCCTCTGCCTCACCACCATCACCTCCTCTATCTCACTATCATCCACCTCCTCTACCTCTCACCATCACCTCCTCTATCTCTACCATCACCTCCTTTACCTCACCACATCCTCCTCTACCTCACAATCATCACCTCCTCTATCTCACCATCATCACCTCCTCTACCTCACAATCA